AAACGTTTGGATCATAGCACCTATAAGACATGAGGTGAAAAGTCATTCTTACAATTGCCTAAACTATATAAGTTGGTTGCAGAGTTGAACTAAATTTCATCTCCAGGATCTTCCCATATTATCTACATTCCATTCTCTTTCTATGTATTTCTAGGCTGTTGGTGATATGTCTGTCTTTTCATGAAATTAGGGGTGATATCTTTGAACTGGCTATAATATAGGAAATGGATTTCTAAAAGTTAGAAGTGTAACCATCCTTCCTATGAGAACCATGATTATACATTTTTATTAAGTATCCTCCTAAGGAGGAATTACAAAAAACATGTTGCCGTGACGTTGCTTACCATTTTCATTGGTTGGAGTGTTTGGGTGTTGGGTAACACATGTATACAACCATCATACAGACAGGCTGTGATAAATGCCAAAGGAGAGGCAGAGGTAATGTGATGTGGTTGGTTTCCAGGGCAACTTAGGAAAGCTGTAAGGGGATGTGTGATCTATAATGGCAGTGAAGAATGTGCAAGATGGGACAGGTAATTTTAGATGAGGGACACAGTAGCATGAAAAAGAAAGGTAGAACAGCCAGGGAATACTGAGGTGCCCTATATTGGTAGAGCCTAGACGAGGGAAAAGCCAGGGATGGTTCATGGAGAAGGCGGCACAGAGGAGAATGAAGCTCACACCTGTTGGTACCCAATATGAGTAGACAGCATGCTAAGGTCTTAAACATATTATCTCATTTAATCTCTCACCACATACATCGATATGAGGGACAGAGAATCAGCATTTTTCTGATGAGGGTCTGAGGCTCAGGATAAGAAACTTGCCTGAGGACTCATTACTAATGGGTTGAGAGCGTCAACGTTTGAAACCAAGTCTGTCTTAACTTGGTAAGTTCTTCCGTTATGCCAAATATCCTTCCTCTCTATCCTTTCATCATGCTTAACATGTTAGCATTTGACTCTCATTCTCAGGCATCGTTGAAGGGTTCTGAGCAGAAACAGACATTACCAGGGCGCTGATCAGGGAAATGTGGGGGCTGGGTGGAGCGCAGAAGCAGCCATCACTGTTGTTTTACTCTGTGGACGGTCTTCTGTAACATCTCGCCCACAGCCGTTGGAGTCGCTAAATGGCATCATTGTCAGAACTGTATTTGCCATCTTTCCTAGGGAAATAAAAATTAAAATCCTATACCTAACTTCATTCCTCCCCTTCTTTCCTATTCCCTATTAGTATTTAACAGTACCTCCCTTCCTCTTGGGCTTATCCTCTTTAGTGCATACCTTCTGGTTTCCTTAACTAACACTTATTCAAGTATGACAAACTCCAGACTAATTGCCAATTGCCCAAAAAGTCCCTCGTATTCCATAACACCTCTGAGACTTCTAATATAATTGACCCGATGAACTCTGATAGACAAAGGTGTACCACCTACCAGTACTGAACTTGCTGTCTTTTTAGTCGTCTCTAGAATGGTGTGCAAACCAGGAAAATATAGAATACCTATTTTTAATACTTTAAAAACACATCTGGAACTATTTGAACTAGCTAAAAGTAAAATAAGTGCCATGGCAGATTATGCCATACCTTTCCTTTTTACTTAAAAAAAAAAAAAAAAAAGAGGAAATGGAAAACATACCACTTCTAGAAGGCCCTGACATTGAACTGGATACTGAAACGGTATTGGTAATGTATTTATATATGCCACATTTTCTTCCAGGCATCAGCCATCTTTGGTACATATGTGCTGGATGTTTGCCATGTGACAGAAATGTTACTGCAAAGGGAAGACTGTCTTGTTTAGAAGTGCTGTGAATCATTACAGTAGAAGTAAAGTCAACCATTTATTATCATACTTACCTTCCCTCCTTTATCTGATAGCGATTGTTTTTTTTCTTTTTTTTGATTTTTTTTTATCATTTTGTGTCAGTCTCTGAATAAATGTCAGAATTCCCCTACAGCAACTCAAAAATAGAAATCACATACCAGAACAGTATAATTTCCATGAACTTAAAAAATTATATAAGAAATATTGTAACCCAATACTGGTTTTACCACATCCTCTAATTTGAAATGGAGTGAAATGCTTCTGTGGTTAAATCTGAGCTCATGTGCTGTTTGCTATAAAAGTTTCAAGAATATATATTTCAAAAAAAATTTTTTTAAATAATCCAAAACAAATGCAACAGTACTCAGCATACTTGAAACACACTTTCCGGATTTATCTTAAATCTCTCTCTGTTTCAGAGGGTTTGTGCGTGTGTGTGGATCGGGCCTGGCCAGTTATTTCACCATCTTTCTCCATCCTGAATTGATTTCACTGAACAGCCCAGAATGAGTTACATATGGTCCCACTTTGTCTCAGTTTGTAGGACCTCTGGGTTGGAACTTCATTTGATCAGAGTGAAGCTAACTGTGGCAAAGATTTGGCTGATGTCAGAACCCTAAATAAATACACATATGCATATATTCTTGTTACAATGTTTATATTTCTTCTAGAAGTAGTGGTGTTTTCTATGCATTGATTCGGTAGTCATTTTTCCTAAAATATTGATGAGATTTTAAGAATTAAAAATTATCTACTGATGATGATGTTGATGTTCTGGGTAGGAATCATGTTATTAATACAAATGTGGACCCAAACGAGGGATTCAAAACATTTTCAAACCAAAATTACGAATGTACCAAAAATCTTTCTAAAATTGGGACAGAAGAAGATAGAAATATTATACAAAGATTTTCTTAAATACAAACTTAAATCTTAAGTTTGAAGAGGTTTGAAACACATTGTCAGCTTTATAGTTTATTTCCTTTTTTTCTTAACGTGGGCTATTTAGAAAAGAAAAATGGGTTCAGATATGTTTTAAAGTGTAGATATTGCTCCTTAACTGTATGGAGTCGGGGAGGGGGCTGTGCTCTGAAGGTCCAGCTTGTCCCTGCGGAGGTCTAGGAAGCTGTTGAGGGTAACTTGCTCCCCCTTCAGGCTTTTGCCTATTTATTTTGTTCTTTTCCCTCTTTTCTTCTTTTTCCTTCTATTGCTTTATTTATTTTTTCGTTACTCCCACTTCCCCTTCCCCCTCCTGCTCTTCCTTTCTCTGTCTGTGCAACCACGTGCTTCAAATCTGTGTATCTGGACTGCCTTCTCTCACAGTTCCCTGTGAGTGTTAGCAGAATGAAAACCAGATGGACCAGCAGTTCCCACTGTTATCTCCCAGCCGACTCTGGCAAGCCTCCCTCTTTCCCTCCCTCCCTGGCATGACAGAAATATTTGCCTTTATTTAGGGAGACTTGTATTTGCTGCTGTACCTCTTCCCTCAGCTGCAACATAAGCGGAAAGCTATTTATTCCCTTGTTGCTGAGGTTGGTTGAGGTGAGTAGAATGTGCAATGAATTTAACTATTGAAGAAGCAGTTTTAAGCCTGCCTAACTTTGGTATTTTTCTAGAATAAGTTCTCTAGAATAAGTTACTGATACTGGTTGTTCAATGTTCTGGAATAGCACTAGGAAGACAGGTTTTTAACAATAAGATAAAGGTAAAAATGCTCTCCATATGTGCCTCTGCCATCATTTCACTCAGAACACTTTTATTCACATTCACTGTTACTCGACCAGCAGTAGAGATTAAGAACTAGAGACCCTGATACTACTGATAACTAGATCATCATACAAAATGCTCTTAATGGAATGATTATTTTATTACATTTTCTCTAAAATGATATCAACGTTAAAACTTTCACATGTTGTGTTTTATTGCAACCCACGTCTTAAAAAATTGCTTTGAACAAAGGCGAGGTACTTCTGGAATCGTGATACTAGTAATTTGGGTTTTTCATTTTCTTTTAATAACTGACTTTTAAGTAATTTTGAGAATTTCTCATGATGGTGGTTATTACAATATTTTAAAAGCCTTGTTCTTTTTTAATAATGTATGTTACTTTACTTTTCTAAAAGTCCAAGTGTGAAATATTTGTGTCTAAGGATGCAAAAGGTGCCTCGAAATATTTTGGGGTGTGTATGTGTGTGTGTATGTGTACACGTGTTTGTAGAAAATTAGATCTAAAGAAACAAACAAAAATCTGTCGTTTTTCCTAGAGATCTGTTGCTTTGATAAGTAGATTAAATTGAGAAAAACACTTCAAAATTTGAAGGGAAAAGTATACTTAAGAGAAAACAGTTCTGAAGTACAAATGTCCATATTGGGTAACCAGGAAATTTCTCCATGTCTATCACATGTTCATGGGAACAAAAAAAAAAAACCAAAAACTAGGAATGTCTTTAGTTCTTTTTAGTTCTCATTTTGGGACTTTTATATCCTTATTCTTGTCTGAGATTATTAATTGGAGTATTGGTCTCATATTTTTAAAAATGGCAGATCATAAATTCACACATTCTAAGTAAATAATAGCTTCACTTCATCGTGTAACGTATAGCATGTAGGTAGTGGTGATTTTTAAAACAGGGCAGAAAAATTGAAGTGAGAGATATGTCTGGGAAACACAACCTGCTTCATCTGATAGGCTAAAAAACTGAAGATAGAAGGGGGATAGCAGGTATTATAGAAAATCATCAAAGAGCCAGCCCCTACCAGAATCTCACCTGTGTAACAGACTTCAGGTTTTTGTTATTTCTGAGCTGTCGTGAGGGGTTCATATCATCCCACTTCCTCATCTATTTTCTACCTCTTGCTAACATTGGCTTCAGCTTCCAATGAAGTTGTGCTGTTGCATATAACACTACCAAGGTAGCATCTGCCTAAGCCAGAAATAACAATAGAATATAATATAACCTAGTTACAAATGGGGTCCTGCCATCTGTGCTACACCTTCTTAAGTGGAGTTTAGATGATAAAATCCTGATTTAAACTTCAGTAGATAAGCATATTTTATTGATAGAAGATGTTGCATTTCTTCTGTTCACTTGCTTTTAAAAAAGATAAACTCCACTTGAAAATCTGAGGTGCTTAAGGAGTAAAATAACATGTTCCTGGTGGCATCCTCCAGATCGTACTGAGAAGCTCTCCACAATGCCAGACTCACCTGTGGATGTGAAGACGCAATCTAGGCTGACTCCTCCAACGATGCCCCCTCCCCCAACTACCCAAGGAGCTCCAAGGACCAGTTCCTTTACACCAACGACGTGTAAGTACTCATTGCAGTCTTTGAAGTTTTAGTTTTAAAGTTTAAATTAGATTTTTTTGTCTGTAGATGAAAAAGCAAGGGGAAATTAGATTCAGCATCAATGTATTGTGCAGAAATGAAGCAAAAAAAAAAAAAAATTTGTTTGCCAGTAAATGAGTATGAGCATAGAAGTACCATAGCTTAGGTGTAGTTTGTATGACTGCCGATATTTATTATCCTTTCGTTATTGCTTCAATGTTGTAGTCTGCTATGATTTTAGCAAATGAAGCTGCATTTGTTCTGTAACTCCAGTTGTTGCCACTATAACTTTTAATTCATTTTAACGTGGAGCACATTAGTTTGTTCTATTTGACTTGGGACATGGACCTATGGTATAATTATTTCTTAGGTTACTTCTGATCTTCCAATACTGCTTTCTTTTATTTCAAACTTTTACAAATAATATTAAAATCTAACATCTTTAAGTAAAAAGAGTATTGCTATATGCAACAGTTTCATACAGAAAACTCTGAAATAAGTAGCATCTTCCGTGACTCAAACCTGTCAGCCTTTTATTTTCCCTTGGCTCAAGTCCCATGTTCTGAGTCCATGGAAGGTATTGCTTTCTGTATTGTCCAAGGAAGGGACAGAACATTCTGACAGAATTGCAACTTCCTCTCTTTCCTGTATATTTCAGTAGAAATAGTGGCTAACCTTGTTTTAGTCAATCTCAAAGTCCTGGTTAGAATTGTCATCAAGGACTTGTGAAACTAATATGTATTATATGTTGCAGATAAATCTATTTACAGACCATGTGCCATGAAATCCATATGAATGAAAAATAACTAACAAGCAAAAATAGTTCCATGGGACTAGAAGGGATCCACAGAGTGCCCAGACCAGGCTGTTTATGCAGTGTTGCGTTGCCATTTAAAAGACCTTTCTAGACGTGTAAGGAGCAGGCAGCTGTGCTGTGTGTGCCAAGTTGTAACCCTGTCATCTTATATTTGGTGATAGACGTGTCTCTTGTGAAATGTCCTGATCGAGCTAGCATTCCTTGACAGGTTACTTTGCTACTCATTTGGGACAGGAGAACCATTTTGTTACCTTAAAATGAAACTTTTAAGAATAACAGGGTCCTTAAAACATCTTCTAACTATTGTTAGAGATAGTTTATCAAAATTATATTTAAAAATGGGTTTGACAAAGATCGGTTTGTCAAATAAATTGACTTAACATGGTAAAATCTATGTTTTCCTTGGTGAGAAATATGCAGATTTTTAAGCCTACATCTTATGGATTATCATCTTTTTTGTTTTCTTTTTATTTATTTTAATTGACATATAATAATTGTACATATATATAGGGTACAGAGTGATGGGGATTATCATCTCAATGTTCAAATACATTTTATCAGAAATAAATTTACTGAATTTCCACCAGTCTGTGCTCTTGGTTGGATGGAGGTGTCTCCTTTCGATTTCTTGAAATAACTGCTCGATAAACACCATGTCCATTTTGGCTTTGTATGAAAAATTTTCATTTTCCCTGTAGAAATGGTTAAGAAATATGAAGGGGAGAAAATAGCCTTCTAATTGGGTGATGGAAGGTTAAAACTTGAAAGTCCTGTTTCTGTAAACACAGCTGTCAGTTGTGTGTACAAAACATGATTAAAAATGTTCACTGATAAATTTAGTCTCCACGAAATGTACACTTTCTCTAGGGGAGCAGTTTAGAAAGGAATAGTCCTGTTATACTGATGTAAGCCCGAGACAAAAGGCTGACATCCAAAGCTGTCTGTTCTGCGTTTGAAACATTTCAGGTGGTTGGCATATGTGCACGTGGGCGGCAGGGCTGGCCCGCGTTACAGCAGGCCCCATTTATCGTCAGCTTCTGTGCAGAACGCCGTCGCTCAGTGAGAGGAATAGACCCATTTCGTTAGAGAGTCCCTGGGAATGTGGTAAATCCTGTAAAGTCATAGCATTTTGCAAAAAGTCTCAACATTTTTAAAATTACAAAACCACTAGATTTAAAGGGAAGGAAACTTGGTGGCAATCTCCTTGTGCGTGTTCTCTGTGAATTTATACTTTCCTTCTGATTTTGTGCCCTTGACAGTAACTAATGGCACGAGCCATTCACCTACAGCCTTGAATGGCGCCCCCTCACCGCCCAATGGCTTTAGCAACGGGCCTTCCTCTTCTTCCTCTTCTTCTCTGGCTAATCAACAGCTGCCCCCAGCCTGTGGCGCCAGGCAACTTAGCAAGCTGAAACGGTTCCTTACTACCCTACAGCAGTTTGGCAATGACATTTCACCAGAGATAGGAGAAAGAGTCCGCACCCTCGTACTGGGACTGGTGGTAAGCAAATAGAAATTAACCCAATTTTCTGGGGTAAGGGAGACTGTGTGGGGGAGATTCAGAAATATAGAACCCCGTTCTCACAGCTGTTGTGTTATAAAAGTTTCTGAAGACTGTATGCAAATCTGGTTCATTCTGTAATAACAAAGTTTGAGTTCTGCATCATGTATTGACCCCCACCGTGGATTCTTTTGCTATTTGACTCCTAAAGATAATGGTTATACAAGTTTGGTGTTATCCTGGTCATAAATGTGCATGTGTATGTATACATATGTGTGTGTATCTATACATGTGTGTATATATCTATGTTCATATATACATATATATGTGAGTGTGTATATGTGTGTGTGTATATTTTTTTCCCATATTTTAATAAATGTGTTCTCCCCGCATTGCTGCTGGCTTTCAGGAATGACAAAATGGTTTTGTTCTGTTGATGCACTTAATCTAATTGGGTGTTCATTTAAACTTAGTTGCTCTGGGGAATTTTTGTTATTGGCTTAGACAAACAAGAATTTATAACGAGTAACACATTCTTCTTTTATGTAGTTTCATTTTTAAGTCTAATAAATTAAAATTTTTTTATTGTGGTGAAATATACCTAAAGTTAAAACCATTTTTAAGTGTACGGTTCAGTGGCATTAAGTACATCACATGATTGCACAGCCGTCACCACTGTCCGTTTCCAGAGCTTTTTCATCACCCCAAACTGCAACTCTGTACGTGTAAAACAATCACTTCTCACTCCTCTTTACCCCAACCCCTGGTAGCCACTAATTGTTTTTTTTTTTTTTTTTTAAATCCAAATCTTTGTTATAGGTATAACTATTTAAACCATTAGTTTGAGAACAGAACCGTTGATTTTGGCACATTCTACTACTTACTCTGTACATTATCGCACTGGAAATTAGAACATATAGCCCCTTTTTGCATGCTAAGTTACTTTTACATTTGTTGTATCTTTTTATAGAAGTGGAGAATTTTCTAGTATTTAGGAAGGCAATTTTCTCATAGTAAACTGGATCATGGAGAAGCCGAGTCATATATTGAATCCTTCTAGGTTCATGGTAGGACTAAAATTCAGATGATAGGTAACAGTTTCCTTTGTCTTAAAATAGATCATGTATTTTTATTATGTGGACCTATCATGGGCAAAGCCATACCAGTTGTGTTTTACAAAAGAAGTCCTAGAATTAGAAGGCTGGGTGAGATACTAGTACAGAAGACATGCTTCAAATTACTATGTCCCACATTTGACAGAGATTTGCAATTTAATTTTTAACCATTAACTGCCTCTCCTCACTCTAAGAACAAAAGACTTTCATATTTCCCACAATCGATCAGCCCCACCTTGTACACCTCCAGGATAGGAAGGGGACTTGGCAGAGGTGTGTCAGTATACTTCAGGTACTTCTGTCGGTCACTTGTCATTTCCTTTCTATTCATTCTTGAGTTTTATATAATAGGTTTTTCAACATGTAAATAAGTTAGACCAAAGAACCGCAGAGTAAATCCAAAGCAATATCAAGTAAATGGCGAATATGTTATTCTTAGTAAAATATGTTTTTTTGAAAACTACCTTGTACATTTGCTATGTTCTTTATTACCAGTGGTTCCGTAACTTAAAATGTAGAAAAATTTGGTAGCTTTAAGTAGATTTTTCCACATACTAAGTGGCATACTTCTGAATGAAATACATTTAACAAATATTTATTTATCCACAAACCTTAGAAAAGTAAAGGGAAGATATTAATTAATGGTGTTTGCATATAATGAGGAGTGACTATTTGTCAAATGAGTGAATGAATTGAGAACAGATATTTTAAGCCTTTGACTATATGCCATTTTATGTACTTCTTAGAACTACACCCTGAATGATTTTTTTTTTTGAGGGAAAGATTTTTATACACATTTTACACATGGGGAAACTGAGGTTTACAAAGGTTAAGTAAAAGAATTTAAGTAAAATACACAAGGCCACCCAACTGGGGCGACAGACCTGTGACTGATTCGAACTAGGTACTACATCATAATGAATCACATCATGCTGTTATTTAGGGGGAGTTAAGAAAAGTGTTAGAAAGTACTCTTCTTTTGAGAATGAGTCACAGAAACAAAATGATAGGTTAAAAAAAATTGCCCTCCTGGCATTTATTGTTACAGACAGGAAGTTAGTGTTTATTCATAGTTCCTTATGAAGATGTTTTGAGTTTGGGGGTATGAAAAACTTAGAACTTGGTGCCTTATTACAAGAAGAAAAGGAACTGCACAAAAAAGTGGGTGGAGAAATATTCCAAAAATATTAGGTCACAAATGCCCAAATTTTGTCAGTCATCAGTATAATTGAAGGCAATGAGAAAGATAAGACCAAAGTTACAGTTGTGATTCTGCCTACAGACTAAGAAAAATGAATCAAAATATGGTTGCTTTACTCAATGCCTTTACAATAGGTTGGTCGGTAGATTCTTTTATTAACAAATGTTACCCATGGTAGGATGCAAATCCTGAGTATTTGGGGCTTGTTTATTTATATATAGGGTAGGTTAGGAGTGAATTTGGGTCATTTTGATCAGTCCTTTTTGAGTTGAGCAATACACATTGCCTCTAGGATAAATGGAATGTCTTAGATAACTAAGAAATGTTTTTCACCCTCTGCAAGACTCAGTGACTCAGAAAGTTCAAACCTTTTCTTTGGCTTTATTAGCATAGCACACTACCCAGCTTGGCTGTTCACCCTGAGCAAAGATGCTTTGGCAGACAAAGAAAGAATGCAAGATGGAAATACAGGAGGAGGAGAAGAATATTTCCACCAGCAGTAGCACTGACATTACATGTGTGATGAATCCAGAGACTCTGACACTTGCCTTTGGCTCTTTTTGTGATCTGTTGTGCTTTTAAATACATCCAAGTGTGTTCATTTTTCATAATGGTGATATTAGAAAGTTCTTCGTAATTGCAGAGATTTCTCTGATAATTAAACTATGCTGGTATCCATGCACATCATTCTCAAAGTCCATATTTAATGTGTTTCATTTTCAGATGCAAGTTTTAGAGGTGGGTGATACAATAAACTATCATGTGATTTTTTTTTTTTTTACAAAGTCAATAGGTTTTATATTGAAAATACTGCTTCCTTTCTGTATGTCTGCTTGTTATTACACTATGTTGTACCAGTATTAGTAATTTGTTAGTTTCAGTGTTTTTACTATTTACCAGAGGCAGTGTATTTATAATACATATTTGTCTTCCACAGAACTCTACTTTGACAATTGAAGAATTTCATTCCAAACTGCAAGAAGCTACTAACTTCCCACTGCGACCTTTTGTCATCCCATTTTTGAAGGTACTGTACAGTTCACTGGTCTGGAAAGTATTTCAAACCATATTGTTGCTAGGTCATAACTGTGTTTTTTTTTTTTTTTTTTTAGGGAGGGGTCAGAACATTTAAGGGCTCTTTGACTTAATTTAATGGCTAAAAACTATCTGAATAGATATTTATGGTAATTTATTAAGTAGTCCTAAAAATCACAATATAGAGTATTTTAAATAATTATCTTAAGAGAAGATAGTATGGAATTTAGAAATCTCTTTGAATAAAGGTTGTGTTTTTTTTTTTTTTGGCCATTTGAGATACAAATTTTTTTACATTTTGCTTATCTTTAGAATGAACAGAAGATTAATTGACCTTTTTAATTTTTCAGGATTTTTTAATAATTGTAACTTTATCTTTACAACAACTGAATGGAAAGATCGGACCCTTACCCCTTTTGCCAGTTAAAAATTGGGAGTGGCCGGGCGCGGTGGTTCACGCCTGTAATCCTAGCACTCTGGGAGGCCAAGACAGGCGGATTGTTTGAGCGCAGGAGTTCGAAACCAGCCTGAGCAAGAGCGAGACCCTGTCTCTACTAAAAATAGAAAGAAATTAATTGAACAACTAAAAATGTAGAAAAAATTAGCCGGGCATAGTGGCGCATGCCTGTAGTCCCAGCTACTCGGGAGGCTGAGGCAG